ATCTTGAGCAATCAGTAGAGAGGAGTTTCCGGTTTGTGTCAAGATGGCGGGACGTGTTTCTCTCTAACTCGGCGCATATCGGTTGATCGACTGGTCCGACAAGCTGTCATCGCAAAACCACCAATTTTTGTAGAATCAGATTTCTGACTCTAACTGCATGATGATTCGTTCTAATCTGTTAAATTCGAAGGAATAATTATTGAAGATTCTACAGAATTCCAGTCGAAATTATTGATCAACTTTGTCGACTTTCAAAAAGCCTTCGACAGTATCCATCGTCCAACACTCTGGAAATTGCTTAACATCTATGGTTTCCCCATCAAATATATCAACATCATAAAATCTTTTTATAATGAAACACGATGCTGTGTAAGAACTGATTCCGGCAATTCTGACTGGTTCCCGTTGGAAACAGGAGTGAAGCAAGGCTGTGTCCTATCGCCGATGCTTTTTTGGTATAGCAATCGACTGGGTCATGCGCAAGTGCATAAATAACGCAAATTTAGGCATTACATGGGTTGACAAAATTCTGGAAGACCTAGACTTCGCCAACGACATAGCACTCCTGAGTTCAGAACACACAGACGCCCAAGAATAAATCAATCGACTCCAGAATTTCTCAGAACAAATTGGACTCCAAATTAACACCGCAAAAACAAAAATTCCAGACCTTACCAACAGTTCAGTTGATATCACGCTGAACAACAACAGCCTTGAAAAAGTCAACAGTTTCACTTATCTAGAGAGCAAGATGTCATCTACAGGAGATACCGCACCAGAAATACCATTTAGAATAGCACTGGCATCGAGTACCTTCAATAAACTATCTAACATCTGGAAATCAAAGACACTTAGCAAACACACAAAACTCAAGATCTTCAATTCTTGTGTGATTCCAGTACTAACCTATGGATGCGAGAGCTGGAAATCAACGAAAACTCTAGACACAAAATTAGACAGTTTTGAAAATAAATGCCCTAGAAGAATACTAAATTTCAAATGATCAGATTTCCGAACAAATACACAAATAAGGCAAGAATCCAGGCAAGAGTATGTGTCTAATTTTATACGAAAACGCCGCTGGAACTATGTCGGCCACGCCCTTAGAATGGATAAATCAAGACTTCGTTACCAAGCCCTCATTTGGACACCACAGGGGAAAAGATCTCGTGGAAGACCAAGGGAAACCCTACGTAGAACTATCATCAGGGAAGGCTCGCTCATGGGCCACTCAAACATCCAAGACCTACAACGGATTGCAACGAACCGCCATGCATGGAGAGTCATGACCTCTGCCCTATGTGCCGCACTCGACACAAGAGGAAAGACTAACTAACTAATCAGTAGAGAAGCCATAAATATAACTGAAGCTCCCATAGATGTGGTTTTTCAGAAAAATGTTTGAAATTCTTTGACAGACAGAATGAGCAATTTGTGTTTCTGCAAGAGGCTAAGACCCAAAAAATAACTACTCACAAACATCACAAAGAATCAGTCATTAATTAATGTGTGGCCACCTTATAAGAAAAGAAACAATACTGGACAAAGCGATAAATGACAGATTTATGAAAAGAGAAATAGTGTTAGACAATGAGATACGATTCTTCACACCGCTTTGACAGTTTAACAGTGGTACCAAGAGCTTGCCGTTCAGAGCGCAATGGCAAACTACTTTACGTAAAATATACCTAGAAAAAGCACAACAGCCAAACAATGCTGGGGTTTGTTCTACAACGTCATGTAAAAGATGTAAACGAATCCAACGCAAGACAAACCGTTCGCAGCCGGGATCGGACGCATTGAGAAGCGTGTTCGCAGCCGGGATCGGACGCATTGAGAAGCGCGTTCGCAGCCGGGATCGGACGCATTGAGAAGCGCGTTCGCAGCCGGATCGGACGCATTGAAAGCGCGTTCGCAGCCGGGATCGGACGCATTGAGAAGCGCGTTCGCAGCCGGGATCGGACGCATTGAGAGCGTGTTCGCAGCCGGGATGGACGCATTGAGAAGCGCGTTCGCAGCCGGGATCGGACGCATTGAGAAGCGCGTTCGCAGCCGGGATCGGACGCATTGAGAAGCGCGTTCGCAGCCGGGATCGGACGCATTGAGAAGCGCGTTCGCAGCCGGGATCGGACGCATTGAGAAGCGCGTTCGCAGCCGGGATCGGACGCATTGAGAAGCGTGTTCGCAGCCGGGATCGGACGCATTGAGAAGCGCGTTCGCAGCCGGGATCGGACGCATTGAGAAGCGCGTTCGCAGCGCCTAAGCCACAGACGCCGACTGTGGCACAGAATATACTCTAATTATAACTACATTTATAAATAATTATTTATGACCTATTTGTAATAGCTGGGGGAGGGAAGGGAGAGAAAAAAGTGTGGGTGGGGATGGTGGAGGGGGGGGGTGAGAGAAAGAGAAAGAGGGAAATTATAAATATTCTCAATCAGAAAGTTAACAATGCAATATTATTTCCTTTTACAGACGCTATCAATGTCAGGATTGGTTGCTTTTATTTCCAGGTAATTTTATCTTTACAATGTAGCAGCAATTAAAGTGCTAAACGGATTGGATACTTTTGATCAGATAAAGCAAGGAGTAAGACAGGGATGTGTCTTATCCCCAGACCTTTTCTCTCTATAAAGCTAAATAATTTTGAAGGAAATTAACAAGAAAACAGGTTTAAGAGTTGGATGATTCAATATAAAAGTTTGCCTTATGCCGATGATACAGTTTTGATAGCTGAAAATGCAACTGATTTACAACAACTGCTGGATATTGTGGGGATGGAGGGTGCTAAGAAAGGACTTTCATTTAATATTAAGTAATAATTATGTCAAAGAAGAAGTTAACTCTACATTGTGATATCTCAGTTGAAGGGAAAAGACTTAACCAAGACAATAAATTCAAATATCTAGGAACAGTCGTATCATCAGATGGAAAATGTGTGACAGAGATTAAAAGCAGAATAGGTCAAGTGAAAGCTGCATTTCAGAAAATGAAAAATATGCAAAAAAATCGGTCGGTCGGCCTGTCTTGTCTGTCTGTCTGTCTGTCTGTCTGTCTGTCTGTCTGTCTGTCTGTCTGTCTGTCTGTCTGTCTGTCTGTCTGTCTGTCTGTCTGTCTGTCTGTCTGTCTGTCTGTCTGTCTGTCTGTCTGTCACTCTGTCTGTCTGTCTGTCTGTAATACCATCTTCCGATCCATTCATTCTTTGCTCTATACTTGCATCTGTCTACAAGTTTTCGGTTCTTATATATATATATATATATATATATATATATATATATATATATATATATATATATATATATATATATATATATATATATATATGGGGGAAGGAAGGGGGTGCGAAAGAGAATTTATGGGAAAAAAGGGGGAAGAAAGGGGGTGGGGATAGCCGGATATTTAATCCAGTTGTAATTGGTACTGTTAGCATGTCGACACTTTGTTGGCTACTGCAGAAGACGGAGCACTTGTAGGAATGTCCCGAGTGCAATGATGTATATTTATGATTGAGTCATTCATTCACTCTTTCAATTCCCAGTGGGGGCAGAAATGAGAAATGCAAAGCCAGTCTTGATATACACGTGCGATCATCATGGCCTGCTGGCAAGAATCTTGATAATAAAAATGATGAAGACAGCTCACGTTTTTGGACACGCCGTGAGATGGTGAAAACAGAATACATCACGATAAGGGGAAAGCTGTAAAGGAATAGAGCCAGAAGGAGTTATCAGAGAGATGTTTCTAACAGTCTGCATAATTAGCAAGGCTACATTACCTTGACTATGAAAAGAAGAAAATTTTGAAGATTGCTTCTTGTCAGTGCAGACTCGGTGAAAGGAGATCTGGAATTTTTAATGAGAAGACCTGAAAATACGGCCTCGTTTGGGCCATAGCAACGTATGAATTCGTTATAGTGACAACGTAATTAAATAAACTCACAAACCGACCTGACTACTCGCATCATAAATTGGCAGTCCATATATTTGAGGAACGTCATAACATCGAAAATACTGGAGTGTGTTACGGCAATGGAAAGGTTCAAGAGGGAAAGACGCAAGCAAAGGATGTAGACATTACTGATGACCAGCGCGGCATAAACGCAAGTAGACGTCATACAGTATATGTGAATGTCATATATTGTCAGCAGTGCAGTAATGACTGCAAGGAGTCACCTGTACTGCTTTACGTTTTGTAAAGTTTTAAAAAAAACGTTGTTTACGCCATTGGCTCATTGGACATATTGTCTGTACTAGATCCATATTATTATAAAAAACTGGCACTCGATGACCACACGCCGACCCCATTTACTTCGCATTACATTTCCGTGCACCCATTTTAGGCTGGATTGGCGTGAGATTAATCAGTTATGGTAGTAATGTTTTGTGGACTTTGTTAACCAGTGTTGTTATTTAATTGTAGAAACGATTGCTTCGTTTGTTTCGAATCCTCGATTTAGTACTTAATTTTACTATTTTACTACTCATTTAATTTTACCTAATATCCACTTACAGCAAACATGGCAAAGAAACAGTGTTTATTGCTATCGTAATAACAGCGGTGAGTTTTCTTTCTCAGCGTTCAAACAAACAGTATTCAATTATTGTGCTGTATATATTATAAAAATTATGGAATTGTACAGATAGAATTACAAAGGTCAGATTTTTAAGAGCATGCATCTTTCCCATTGCAACATACGCCTGTGAGACCTGGACACTTACTAAACAAGCGGAACAGCGCATAAATGCATTTGAATATAAATGTTACAGACAGGTTCTAAGAATATCTTGGGTAAAGAAAAGAACAAATGCATCCATACTTCAAGAGCTGAATATTGAAGAGGGTTGGCTAGTAAAGACAATAAAACAAAGAAAATTGAAATATTTTGGTCACTTGAAACGTCATGAAGGTCTAGAGAGAACAATAATGGAGGGGTATATGCCTGGGAAGAGAGGAAGAGGAAGGCCAAGGAGAAGATGGGTGCAGGATGTGGCAGATGATCTCCAGATGGGTGTATCAGACGCAGGACATCTTGCTCATGATAGGAAGGTTTTCCGGAGGGTTGTTATGGCAGCGAGGTTCCGCGAGGGACATGCTACTGAATGAATGAATATATTATAAATGCGGCGTCCGTGGCTTAGACGTTGCGAGTCCGAATCGTAATTCCAACGAAACTTTTTTCGTAGTAACAGCGTTAAAATTCCATTCGTTGTCTACATAGTGGGTTGTTCGCAACATTCGAACAGATATTTAATTATTGCGATGTAGATTTTTAAAAAAAAAAAAAAGTGAGTTTCCATTTCACGAAATGCAGAGTTACTTAGGACAACAATTTTTTTGTAACGATCGTTATGAATGGTGATTTGTAAGAGTCAACTATGAGAGTTCATTTGCCGGGTGATATCGACACGGATTGAGCAGTAACACTAACCCCTAACTTTAAAAAAAAAAAATATGTATGTACCGTCTCGTCAATGTAAGCTGGCGTAAGTGCACTGTGATTCTCGTACAACTGTTCGAAAGCCACTAGGAAGGTCCTTTAAAAAAAAAAAGAAAATTCTTTCACGGTGGAAATCGAACACTGGTACAATAAATATCGCGAAATAATGCCATAACTAATGTTAGGTAAGAACAATTGGCCTGTACGACAAGAAGCGTCCTAAACTAACCAGCGATCAGAATGATCACCGGACGCTTAAGTTTAATAGAAGACCTGGCATTGTGTGTTGAACCGGTTCCCGGCTGTGCCGTTTTAACGAATTCGTCTGCCAGACACATGACCGGGGACACGACCAGCATAGAGCCCCATGTTAATCTATGTATATGTTTATTATTATTGACCCTCCACCATTTAATTCAAGTGAGTGGTTGTTGTGGGGGCCTCAGCACCCTGGTTTGCCCAGTGACCTGTAATGCTGGTATGACAGCTGTGGCTCCAAGCTGGATATTTGTAACAAAGTAGGACAGTTAATAGCCTCGAGAAGCTGATGTGCAATTGGTGGAAAAATGTTCTGTTTACTTTTTGCTTTGCTTACGATAGTTTATCTATGCTTAGCTTGTCCGTGTCCAGATCAAGTATCATATAAATGAAAGCCAAAGACTGGCGTAATCGTCGTGAGATACCTGCTAAAGAACTGTTATAGGTCCCACAATTTATCGGTGCAAGGAAACTGCAACACCAGTTGCCCACTGTAAGCGGGGAATTGGGCTCATTCAGGTTAATGAACGTTTGCTAGACCAGAATGTGGTGTACAGTCTCAATCAAACTCCAAGATTTAGTACCGCATCTAGACAAGGAAAGATTCTCTGCTCTAGACATCGATCTGGGGCACATGAGATGAGGTCACACTGAGCTATCTGCGAGTCTACATTGTCTCATACTACCAGAAATATGTGGATGAGGCCTCAGAGAAAGAGATCTGGGAGATGATGGTTTGGTACGAAAGTTCCTGTTGGTTGCAGAATCCCCTAGCTGTGAGCCAAAAAATTACAGAAATTGTATCTTTAAACTTTAGAATATTTCTTTTTTGTTTTCGGGAAAGGGGACACAGTCAGTGGAGAAAAAAAATTACTTCAAGCAAGGGCCCGAAGACTAATTTCTACTGTGTGTTGCTTAATAAAAGGATGTTTCATCATCATCATCATCAATTCTCTTTTTGCCTAGTGGCACATGAGGCTTCAGAGACGACTTTCCATGCTTTCCTGTCGTGTGCAGTCTTCAGTGCAGTTTTCCATGTCAGAGATGCCGCATTCATGTCGCTCTCCATCGTTCGTCTCCTTGTTGTTTTTGGGCGCCCCTTCTTTCTCTTTCCCTCTAGTGTCCATGTAAGAGCTGTTTAATTTTTTTTTCTTTTAAACTTCATTTCACAGGTTATTATCACATGTTGCTTGGTTGTTCATTACAGAGGGAAAGATCGTCTGACAAGAGTCCTAAAACACACAACTTGCTGGTTCCAGTTACAATCCATGTGGAATTATTAATTAATTTTCACTAACTAACCGACCGGTTTGGTCAGAAAAAATGAACCGAAGACCTTTAGAATGCGTTTAAACGGCTAAACGACTTCGTCCCAGAGACCTTAAGTTAGCTGCTTATCCTTCACGGAACGTTGCAGAACCAACCCCAGCATTTTTTGTTTCTTACTGTTGTGGTTTTTTAATGCAAATTTTAGTTTTAGTAGTTTGCCACCAAAGGAGCGGCTGGCCGAATAGTTAGAACGTTGGGCTCTCAACGTGAGGCCGGGTACGAATCCTCGGCAGGGCTGGATATTTTTTTTTCTGGCGGGGCAAAATGAAATCCTCCCCTGCACAGTCGTGGCGACAGCGCTAGCCATGTGGTCTTAAATCCTTAGGCTCAAAGACCCCCCCCCCCCCCCCCCGCCTACACCACAAAAGTGGTATGATAAAGGCAGTTACAGTCAGTTTACCACTAACGCAAGACAAATCATCCGCAGCTAGGATCGAACCCGGCACCCTGGCATTACGAAGCGCGTTCGCCTAAGCCACAGTCGCCAACCCCAGAGACCTTCTTATTATATAATTTTCAGACAGTCTGCTTTCTGTCAAATGTGCCAATGTTTACTTTGTAGGATTTGCCAGATTTTCTCAACTCTCATCCACACAGGCTATGGTGCTTCTGCTGACAGTTCTGGCATGTCAAAGCACCATTGATTTCACCTCCTGGATGGGCGCCATGTTTGTGATCCTACTCATTTTTATGCTGTTCGCTATATTCGCTTCAATCCTCAGCCCATACGTAAGTTTTACATATTGTGTCTTTTAAAGTTTGGCTGTTATTAACATCATACCGGTGACAACACGCTGAGACAAAGGAGAAGAGAGATTGAACCGCCTGTTGTGTAGGTAGGTAGTTTTACTCCACCGAGACATCACACAAGCGATAAACCACCGGTGACACAAAGTGCCACCATGCGGATGAGGATTACCCATGGAGAGGTCCCGGAAGCCCCTTTCAGTCGTTAGACCATATTTATGTCCCAGCTTTTTTAGGACCCCCGGCAAAAGCCAGAGTGGGGCTTCCCAAAAAAAAATTCACATGGGGACTTTTGACACACAAAAAACCGCCTGTTGGAAATGGGTACTAAACAAGACAAGAATGCCGATACCGGTTGTGGAAAGAAGAAATGCTAGTCAACTCCTACTGGATACTCTAGGCATGGAGACACTGAGATGGCTGCAGCATCGGAGGACGGAATACGAATCAGCGGCCCTATGTGCTAGGGTGTCAATACCGACATGGAACAAGTAATACCAGAGTGAATAGTGGAAGGTAGGCGAGCAAAAGGTAAACATTGGTAGAGTAGAGTAGAGCTGAGTTGATTCAAAAACCGACATCATAGCACTAAGAGTATTCCCATAAGCGCTTCGTCCCCATCGTCAGCAGCCAGTGAAGAGTTCTGATACTAATGCTGCCAGTAGCACTCTGTTTAAACGTCCGTCTCGCCTTTCCTCTGAGCCTCAAGCATCTGCCAGAACCCTCGTCACTTCCCCCACCCCCTTGCATCAATCTCACCAGACTGTGGTGATCCATCTGCTCCTTGAAACCGTACACGCTCTCCCACAAGGCACTAACCACGTCTGGCCTATCATGCATCACTATTCCACAAAGTTATACAGAGCCAACAAGTCTGTCCGCCTGTTCATTTCCTACATTTCTACATAGACAGAGTAGAGAGGATAACATCAAGAGATGGACAAGCAGTGGGGTGGAAAGTCTACAGTCAACGAAAGAAAATTGTTGAAGATTATTTTGATTCTGTAACGTTATGTAAAGGATATACAACTAAAATAATTATTTCCCGAGTGTTGTGTACAATACATGGGAAGGGAAGTTCATTGTTGAACGTGGGACTTGGTGCGGTGCGCACACATTGAACGTAATGTAGAGAGAGAGAGAGAGAGAGAGAGAGAGAGAGAGAGAGAGAGAGTAACAGTGGACTCTACTACGCTGTGTAGGAAGCCTGTTCTAATCTGGATGGATCCAGGCTGGTCCTGCATAACTGTGTTACGCTGGCGGTAGGGTACGGGCTGTCTGTGAGTGTTGTTACAGCGGTCGCGCCAGCGTGACAGACGCTCGTGTGGCCGCAGACGAAAGGTCTGGACAAGTTTCACAATGTACTGTGCATCGGCCTGTATGATTCTGCTATGACAGTGTACCCAAGGGATGGGTGTCATAGAGGTAGACACATAATCACGAGCAGTGAGTTTGCACGAGCAGGTAATGTTTGCTCGTAGTTGACCACGGGACAGGGTGGCAGTAGAAGTAGCCCAGAGCGTCCGTAGTGTGTGTTGCCTTGCCAGTAGGAATGACTGTGGCGGTGTAACGTTTTATCTCGTGATGCCTTTCATTGTTTTGGTGTTGAAATTAGAAATACATTAATTCTGTTTGACGTTCAACATGTATCCGGCGTCCTTATTGCTGTTGGGCGGGAATGGTGACTTGTTACTGTAACACTATTTAACATACCATGGATACTTGGCAAGTGTGCGTTGTATCAAGCGAACATTCGCACACGTCAATGGGAACCAAGCCGGGATTTGAAACCGGGACCTCTCGCAGGTCGTACTTGACTGTGGTACCTCGCGATAGGCAAACAATACAGCTGGAAGGTACTTGTCCCAGTCCTTAGGGAAAGCCGACGTAACTTTTGCTAACATGCTCTTCACCGTGCCATTAAAATTTTTTACAACACCATTTGCTTTCGGGTTGTACCGGGCAGCAAAGACATGGGCAATGGACAACAATTTTTCAAAAGATTTCATAGATTCAGAAATGAATTGCGACCCATGGTCCGAAAGGATAATATCTGGGAAACCCAGACGAGAAAAAATAAGCATTAAAGACTCCGCTACAGCCTCAGAGGTAATGTATCGTAAAGGGACACATTCGACCCATCTTGTGGCAAGATCTATGAAGGTAAGTATAAACCTGTTCCCTCTCTCAGACATGACCGATAATGGACCTACTATGTCTATTGCTACTTTCTCGAATGGGCGATAGGGCAAATATGTACTCTGAATTGGAGCCCTCTGTAATGCACCTCTCCTAGACATCAACTGACAGTCCTTGCATGATCGGCAGTAGTGACGAATATCCGTAGAACACCCTGGCCAATAAAACTGAGATAAGACTCTTCTCTGCGTCTTACCGATGCCCAAATGCCCCGCAAATGGGGTATCATGTGCAGTTTTCAAAACTTCAACCCTATAGATAAGTGGTACAACAAGCTGTTTGTAGGAGTTGTTGGCTCTCTCAAAATACCTCATAAGAATGCCATTTTTTATGAAGAAGTACCACTTCCCTCTCTTACTTTTCTTATATCCAGAGGATTGTGCCTTAAGAAAATACTTCTTCAAAGTTGGGTCCGATTGCTGGCATTCCTTGAAACTACCCTGGGTTCCTGGTTTTGATGTAATGCTATGTTCCTCAGAGGTTATGGTTTCTGGAATAACCAGCTGAATTCCATCAGAGGCCTCCACAACTACATCGGTTTTGGCGCATTCATTTTTTTGAAGTTGTTGGGCTCTTGTGACCACTGCGTTTGCCACTCGTTCGTGAGCACTGTACCAATGTTTGATTTCTTCTTCAGTTGGTTCCTTTACACCTTTACCGTTCCCAACATTATTCTTGCAGCTGGGTGTCGCAAAACGCACACCTCTGCATGACCCCTGAAAAAACAGCAATCCAAAAATGCTCGAGCCAGCGGGTAAGTCTCAATTCTCCCCCCAAAGGTTCTACATTTTACACTTCTTCCCAAATAGTCAGATTTAGGCACTAGGTATTTTGCAACCCCGATTACATAGGCGCCACTGTCCCTTAACACAGTACAACTTTTCTGACCCACATACCCTTTATGGATGGGTAACCCCCCGATCTGAAAGGTTGCTGATAAGGTGGGGTATATAACTTGGGGTCTTACTTTCACTATGTCATCGTATATTTGGGTAGATCTACCGTTGTCTCCTACCTGTGCCGCACTTGCTTTACCCTTTACTACTTTAGGGCATACACTACGTTTGTGTGGTCCTGAACACAGGAAACACTTAATAGTTCTAGATCTGAAAAAAACTTTTTTCCCGGTGGGTTGTCATCATCCCTCCTATCCCTATACTGGCAGTCCTCAGATCTGTGTCTCCAGGACCCACAAAATTTACAGCCGGGTTGCTCATTATTAGTGAGGCCCTTCCACTGTTGCTTCCCCTGTTTGGGCCTCTGGACCGTTGTCGAATCCTTATTCCTAAAGCTCCCATGATTCTGTGTAACCGGAGAAGGTCTGACCTGAAGGCCTGCCGCTGCTGGGATTTTATCAATACATAGGTAAATGTTCACTAAAATACACCATCTGCTTACTTTTTAAAAGAACATGTTTTCTACTTTACAAAGGTACATCGTTATCGAAGTGGCTAGCTCGTCTGCCTACAGGTCCTTTTGTCGTGTGTTAGAATCTTCAACAGTGATGGTATTTTATCATTCTATTGATCTCCGCTCATAGCTCTAGAAACCCTGAACGTTGCTTCTGAAGCCAGGCGTGCATAAAGCTGCTGTAATCGCGCTTATACTTTTCAGTGCCAAAGAGAAATGCATTATTTTACGATTTATTATTACTGTTTACAACTTTGTACATATACGCCACTCGGTTTACGTCTCGAGCGTACGGAAAGAAACGCGCGCTGCTTGCTTACTACACTCATTCTGTGAAAAGCTACCAGTTACTAGTAGTATTATCCGAGCTGCGCACTCATACTCTCAACGGGTAAACGTAAAATATCACGTGATACCCTATAAAGTGTAACCGTTACCTGTCAACGCACACCCGTGCGAAGTGATCAGGTGTAGCCACTGATTAGGTACTAGGGACAGTTCTGGAAAGTGAAGACGGACGGTGTAATATTAACACCTCAAACCCTCCGGTTCCGAAAGGTCTATAACAGTATAGGTTATGCAGCATATTTCCAGTAGACCAAGGGTGACCAACTGGCGTCTGTGATTTGAGTACTTCGTCATGCTGGAGTGCGAGGTTCGATCCTAGCTGCAGGCGATTTGGCAGCAGACCATCTTGAATGGGTTTCGACAGTAGTATCAAGAGTTGACAGTTCAGGGGCAGTGGTAAACTACTGGAAGTAATATTTTCCATAAAAACCACAAGCCATACAAAAAATTGCTGGGGTTGGTTTTGTAAAGTCCGGTACGTGATACGCAACTAACTTTTTTTAAACTAGGGTAAGTATACTTCCCGTTTTCACCGGGACAGTAATTGTTTTTAGGATTGATAAAAAACCAAACGAAAAGTAAATCAACCAGCTTCTCAATTTAACAAACACAAACAAAACGTAAACGGTCTGGCTAGAGCCTTCGTTAGCATATACATAAATCAAACACAAGCTTACGAATACACAAAACTCACTTAACTCACGTATCAAGATGCAGCAACGTGGATGTCTTGCCAGTGCAACAAAAAGAACACACTTACACTAATTTCACCTTATTTTTAGGAGTTCCTTGGTACTCAAAAAAAAAGTTATTTTTCCTGTTAACAAAAATCTAGGCAAAAGCTCTCGAATAGAACATACACGTATAGTTATAACTGTAGGCCTTATTAGATTTTAGTTTTAGATATTTTTAATGCCTAAATGTGTGCATGAGAATTTTCAGTGTAGTATGTTTTTACATTGCAGTTAAAGAGCAGATTGTTTCGTTTAATTCTTGGTGGCAATGGTTCGGGTTTTAATACTAGT